ATATATATATATATTAAAGAAAGTTATGTGGAAGCAGAATAAACCAAATGGAAGAATGGAAGAGAGAATCAGTGAACTTGAAGATGTCTACAAAAAAAGCAAGTTAGGAGAAGAAAACATAAAGAAATTAAAAAAGTGAAGAAAGAAACACTTTGAGACGTCAACTTCATAAGTAGCTTAGTTAACCCAGAAGGTAAAGAGAGAGAAAAGAACAGAGAACTGATTTAAAGAAATAATCAATGATATATCCGAAACCTGGAGAATGAACTAATTATACAAATATACTGTTAAAATAACACCAATGTTCCTAAACAACAATCAAAATTACAGCAAAACTTATAGTAGTGAAACTTTCAAGAGTTCAAGACAAAATGATAATAATAATAATATAATAATAATAATGTGGGGAAGGGAAATAAAGCAAATAACCTATAAAGGAACATCAATTGGGTTAACCTGGCACTTCTCTAAAGAAACACTATGGTAAAGGAGAGACTGTAATGATGTGATTGGAAAACTTAAAGAAAAAACCTCCAGTGAATTGCCTGGTGGTGACAGGAGTTAAGAAGCAGCATTGGGCTCTCCCTAATGGTACAATGGGTTAAAGCACCACACTATGAAGCTCTCAGAAGCCACTGTGGTACAAGTTAGATTCCCAGCCAGGGAGGTGACAGACATTGCATGGCAGACCTCTCCTGACCTGCCCGCTATTCCCCTCAACAGCCAATTTGCCTGTTCTTCTCACCATTCTCTCTCTGGTGAATCCACTCACATACCACATTTCTGGCCTGTACCCCAGTTATGTATGCATAAATAAATCTTAAAAAAAAAAAAAAGGAGCAGCACTATGAAGCTATATGCAACCACGGCAGCATGAATTCAATCCCCAGCCAGGGAGGTGACACCTATGGTGCAGCAGACCTCTCCTATATTGCCCACTGCTCCCCTCTGCTGTGTATTTCAGACCATCTATCTGTTTTATTCCCAGCTTCGGTGCCGATACATCCTCTCACATCCTTCATCTCTGGCCCACACCCCAGCTCTTGTATACATAAATAAAACTTTATTTAAAGGAAAATAATTCCAGCCAATATACTATACCCCATGATGTTCTCTTTCGGAGAGAAGGGGGAGATCAATGCCTTCTCAGATAATGAGAAACTGAAGATTTGGTAAAACCATATTCCTTCTTTCCAAAAAATATTAAAAGGAGCACTAGAGTCTAAGTCAAATAGAAGACCATCTACAAAGAACATAACTAGAAAGTACATAGAAATACAAAATTAAGGACAAAATGACAGCAACAAATTTTCATATATCAATAAACACTCTCAATTTAAATGGAATAAATTCACCATTTAAGAGACATAGTCTATCTGGCTATATAAAAAAACAAAATCTATCAGATTGCTGTTTCCCTAAGACAGAGCTTATCTTCAAGATAATCATAAGCTCAGTGTAAAGGGTTGGAAAAAAACCCTACAGTGAGTGGGGGACAAAGGAAGGTGGGGACAGCTTACATGGACAAAAGAAACTTCCAGTTAAAAAGGTAATGAGACAAGGGCCGACTGTATATAATGATTAATGGCACAGTACAACAGGGAAGTATAACACTCACTAAAGTATATCTCCAAATGAAATAGCACTAAAATATAGTAGGCACTTACTATCAATTCTGAAATCTAACACTGGATAAAATACATGTGGGTAGGAGATTTCAAAAACCCACTCCCACCAATAAACAAACAAATGAGACAGAAAATGAATATGTCTAGACTGATGCTAACAAATAATTGTACTATATACCTTGTAGACATCTATAGGGCCCTTTACCCCCATAAAATCAGAATATAAATTTTGTAGGTGCATACAAGGTATCAGTCTGGATTGTCCTGATTTGGATCAGAAGGCAATTATCAATAAATCTATGAAGATAGAAATCACACCAGTCATCTTTGCTTACCACAAAGATACCAAACTATAAATCAACCACAAAAATAAATCAGGGAATTCTCCTAATGCATGAATATTAAGCAACATTCTTATTGAGCACTACTGGGCTAATAAGGGAATAAAAAAAATAAGAAAATTAAAAAAAAACTTAATAAAATGATGAGAACACAACATTCTAGAACATCACACACAATAAAAGCAGTATTAAAAGAGAAGTAGAAAGAAACAAAGGCCTACATCACAAACAAGAAAGAACATAACAAATAATCTATTTTCCTCCTGAGGAAAAAGAGAAAAAAAAAATAGACAATATCAAAAGGAAGTAAGTCATAAAAATTACAGTTGAAATAACTAATAAAAAAAAAGAAATAGAAATAAAACATTCCAAAATATCAATAGGTATAAAAGCTGGTTTTGAAAAATAATAAAATAGAAAAAACTCTAGCTAGGTGTATTATAAAAAAAATGTAAAAGCTCAAATAAATGGATCAAACATGAAAAAGTAAAACATAATGCAGAAATTCAAAGGATAAGAGAGTACTATGAACATTATGTGCTCACAAATTCAATAATCTCAAAGAGATAGCAGTCACATTTATGTTATCATCACAGACCGAGTAAGGAAAATATAGATAATCAGAACAAACCTGTTAAAAGTGAGGAAACTGAAACAATAATCAAATTCCTCCCCACAAATAAAATTCCAGGACAGGACAAAATGGTTTCATACACATGTTCTACCAAATTTTCAAAATGTACCTATCCTGCTCAAACTCTTCCAAAAATTGGGGGAGAAGCAAAATTTCCAAATGAATTTTATGATACCATCATTAATCTAATACCAAAACAAGCAAAAAACACAATTAAGCTACAGATCAATTTACTTATGAACACATATGCAACTTCCCAATAAAATTTTATGAAATTGAATCCAATGATGCATTAAAAAGATTATACACCGTGACCAGTAAGATTTATAACAGAAACACAAGGATATTTAACCATTTGAAAATCACCACCTAATTCACCAAATCAACAACAAAAGGACACTAAAGACATGATTAAATCATTTGATGCCAAGGAAACAACACATAAAATTTAATATCCATTACATTGATGAGCCCTAACAAATAGAGACAAATGAACTATATCTTGACATAATAAAAGTCATGTATTACAAACCTTGATCTAATATCACATTAAATGATGGAAAACTCAGAGCCTTTCCATGTATATTTGGTACAATCAAGGATATTAATAATCACTATTTCTAGTTAACATAGTATTAGAATATCTAGCTAGACCAATTAGTCAAGAGAAAGACATAAAATAAATTCAAATTGAGAGAGGAATTAAAGCTGTCATTTTTATATAATGCAATGATAAATGTGGAGACCACTAAAGACAATACTGAAAAGCTAATTAAGAAAATATAGTCTGGTTCCACAAAGTGGAAGGTGAAAAAAATCAATAAAAAATTCAGTTGCATTGATATATTCAAGTAATGAGCTAGAAGAGGAAGAAATTGAGAAAATGATACCATATATAATCACACCAAAAAATTAAGTACTTAGGAGAAGACTAACAAAAGAGAATAAAGGCACAGTGTAAAGAAAATTTTAAGAAATTGTTAAAAGAAATAGAAGTTCACAGAAAGAAAAAGAAGTTATTCTGTGCCCATTGACTGAAGAATAACTTTGTCAAAATGACCTTGCTACCCAATCAAGAAACAGATTCATTGACAGCCCAAAAAAATTTAATTGGCATTTATTCTTCAAAGAAATGGAATACCATTACTTAATCCATATGGAATCACAAAAGACCCCAAATAAACCCAAAGCAACCCTGACAAAAAGAGGTAGAATGACAGTATCACAAACTTTCAGATCTCAGATTACATTTTAAGGTTATAATAATTAAAACAGTCTGGTCCTGGAAACACACACACAACAACAACAAATGGAATAGAACTGAGAGGACAGAATTAAACCTACATATATATGGATAGTTAATTTATGACAGAGGACCCATAACTATGCACTAGAACAGGGAAAAACTCTTCAACAAATATTTTGGTGACTGCATAGCAACAAACAAAGGAATGAAATTAGACTTATATCTCAAACCACACACAAGAGACAATTTTAAATAACTAAAGATGGGTGAAACACTTGAAATCATAAAATACACAGATGAAAATACAGGCAAAACAAGTCACATCATAAACTTCAGTGGTTGTTTTGGGCACCCATTGCCAGCAGTGAGGAAACAAGAAAATAATTGAAGATATTTCAAAATAGAAAGCTTTGAAACAACAAAAGAGTTAGTAATTAAAATTAAGAGATACTACTGAATGGGAAACAGTATCTGTACACCATACACATGAAAAGAGAATAATATCAAATATATATAACTAGCTCATATTACTCAAAAACTTAAAAACAAAATAACCCAATCAAATATGGGAAGAAAAGCTAACTATGTAGTTCTCCAAAGAAGACATCAATATGATGGCAAACAGGCACATTCCCAATCTAATTTATCTTCAGGAATATGCAAATAAAAGCCTCAGTGAGATACCACTTCATACCAGTGAGAAATGTCCATATCAAAAGGACCAGAAACACCAACGGCTCATGAGGATATGGAGAAAAAGAAACCAAATTACATTGGTGGGAATGTAGACTGCTATGGACATTATGAAAAATTATATGGAGATTTTTCAAAAGATTAAAAATAGGTCCTCAATACAATCCACAAATTTCAAAAAATACAATAACACAAATCTGAAAGCAAATGTACAGTCCTAGTTTAGTGTATCTCCATTTACAAAAGTCAAGCATTTTAACCAATTAAAATACCAAAAATAGATGATGGGATCAAGCAGGTGAAGTATATATACATAATGGAGTATTACTCAGTGATCAAAAAGTATAATTGCATGTCATTTACAGAAACACTGATGCATCTGTAAGGAGTTATGCTAATCAAAGTAAGCTAGAAGGAGAAAGATAAATATTATATGGTATAACTTATATGTGGAATGTAGAGTAATGACATACAAGGTCAAAGACAAACTTTTAAAGCAACTTTTGAAAGCTGATCATAGAACTGAGACATTCAGAGGTGAGGAGAGGGGAAGAAATGAGAACAGTTTGGGGAGGGAGTATGGTGGATGACTATTAGTGCATCACCAGATGTGTGAGATCCTATACTCCCAAAATACTAACAACATTGTAAATGATAGCAGCTGAGCAAAATAAAAAATGTCCCTACAACTCCACTCTTGAATTTTCTACAGGGACAAATCAGATGCTAAGTAGTTTTTAGTTCAGGGAATGGCTTTTTAAATTTTTATTTTATGTATGTTTTATTATCTCCTGCACGGTCTCCAAAAAACTCCCACCACCAATTCATCTGTGTACCATCAGCATAGTCCCTTGTGCTATTTTCACCCATTTTTATCCAATTTTCTCCCCATCCTCCCCAAAGAACATCTCTGGCTTATAGTTGTGTGTTGATTTTGATTTTTACTTTGTTATAATTACTTTCTCCACCCACCACCAACCACCACCAAATCACTAATTTAGTTCTGCTATATCCCTCCTGCTATTTTTCTTTTCCTTTCTTTCTTTCTTTCTTTCTTTTTTTTTTTTTTTCTGGCTTCTTTCACTGAGCATGATCATAGGGAATGGTTTTTATGAGTGCAGTAGAAGAATAAAAACTTTTCAGTTCTAGTTATTAGGGATGGAAAATGTAGATTGTACCTTATGTATAAAGCATTAGCTTGATGATGTAATAATTTACCACTTACTTTACTAAATAGCATGTGTGAGCAAAATATGATAGAAGCTCTTTAACATTTCAAGTTTTCTCAGGATTGTCAAAAATTATGATATTTAAAATTTTAATATATATGAAAAATTCAAATCTAAGTTTAAAATTTGGCAATGATGCATAATGAGCTACTTTACCATTTTTTCCTCTAAGAAAAACAAAAAGTGTATCCTTATTTATCTATTAGACATATTCCTGAAAGAAGTTCCTTCTATATATTTATGTTAATTCATAAAAATTGGTCCCCTCTATACATCAGCATTAAATTTTATCTTTTTTAAAAATATATTTACTTATGCATAAAAGAACTGGGGTACAGGCCAGAGGTACAGGGGGTGAGAAGATGCACCAGAGACAGATTGGGGAGCAGAACAGTCAGATCTAATGAAACACACTGCTAAAAGGAGCAGTGGTTGAGACAGAAGATATCTGCGTGCCATGTGAGTCAGCTCCCTGGCCAGGGACAGAACTCATGCCACAGTGGCTTAGCTTCATAGTGCTGCAATTTAAGCCCTTGTGCCAGCAGAGAGGTCCCAAATTTTATCTTAATTAGTGACTATGTAGTAAAAAAGCTAGGAAGGATTTATTGTACTAAATTACTCATAATTATGAATTTATTTTAAAAAGTTAACAGCACTCTTATTGCATGAGATATGACTTCAAGAATTATTTGTCTAAAAAAATGTAATTCACTGTATTAGAATTTGTCTTGTATGTCACTAATTTTTCATAAGTTACTTTTTATCTCCTCATCATGACACATTTGAATGAATAGGAAGTAACTTTTAAAATAGATTGTACCAATATAAACTTTTCTTATGACACTTATTTAAAAAAATAATATAATAAACATAACAGAGACTTACCAGTGGTGACTCTGCAGTTTTAGAATTTTCAAAGTTTGGCCTCTCATGAAGATTGCTAAGATCCAAGGATTCCTCGATGTCTTCAGAGACTTTTTTCTTAATGGAAGTTTCTTCTAAATCTATCATTGGCAAAAATTCTTTGTTTTCAAGTGACATACAGGAATCAGTATTCTCTTTATCTATACTTTTCTCATTGGAATTTCCTTCAAATATGTAATTTCCCCTTGATTTTTCAGTGGCAGAAGAATAAATATAAAGATCCACATTGTTGTCAAAATTTAGATTTGAAGTTCCTGATGTTGAAAATCATATATAGACATACAAAAAATTAATGCATATGTTTAAATAAATTATTAAGCTGCTCATAAATCCAAATATCTAAGATATTTAGATACCTCAATACCTATACAAATATCTAATATAAATATCTCTATCTAATGTTATTTCATCAACATTTCTTTTACTGAGTTCTTGTTAAAATACTTATATGCTGGTTATGTTCATAAATGATAACCATAATTTATTTAAAAATTCAAACTAGAATGAATTAAACTAATGGAGGGAGGTAACCTTTTTTTTTCCCCTAATAAAATTGAAGCAAATAATATTTACTTTATCCTGTGGTTCAATTTTCCACCCCATTCTTCCACACAAGTTCAGCTTATGGGGGGAAAAATGCATAGGGTACCTTATTTTAATTATTTTTTACAACTTATTTCTTCAACATGACTAGGGATGTAGGTAGAAAGGGTAAATGGAAATCTCCCAGATAAAATTGCAGTAGCATTTAGGGACACAAAATATGCCTAAGCCAGAACACCTGCCTCTGGAAAGCTACAAAATGAGCAAGACTATATTAGTCACCCAAATCATCATGCCTGTTTTAAAGAAATCACTTTGTTTAGATGATTGGTTTTTAACATGGCTGCACAATGGAATCATCTGAAGGTACTCTTTCAATTGCCAGTGTATGGGTCTGACCCCAAACCAATGAAGTGAGACACTGAAAACAGGACTCAAGTCCTGTGTGCCCCAAATTTTCTCTCTCCAAGTTTGCCAAGTGATTGTAATGTGAAGCTAGGGCTGTGAAATATCAAGATTTTCTGAAGAACTAAAATTCCTTAAGATTTACTGCACATTGCTTTCGTTTTAAAGAAAAACATGCCCATGACTATCCAGTTGTTTACACAGCTTCAACTAATCATCCCTTATTTTCCTTCCAATATGAAAATCGTATCCCCTAAAATAGACTATGCAAAATAGTTGAAAATCTGAATAAAGTAGTCTCCAGTGATGTAAATTTCGCCTTGCCTCCTGAAAGTTGTGAATTTTATAAAATTCAGCAATTATAGATAATTAGTACTGCTATTTCCATCAACTGTTACCTTTTAAATTTTACAAATAACTGCAATATGCAACAGTCTTAATGCCAGAAAAAATATTTTATAATAAAAATTTCACAAAGGTTATTCAATTTAACGAAACATCTATAATAATTATGTACTCTATCCTTAAACTTCAACAGATGTTATCTGATATTTTGGTAGAAATATCATTTTCTATAATTAAATATCTACAACTGGGGTACCTCCCTGGTGGTGCAGAGGTTAAAAACAGCACTATCAAGCTATTGTCAGCCACTGCAGCAGGTGTTTGATCCCTGGCCCATCAGGGAGCTGACCCGCATGGTTCAGCAGACCTCTCCTGTCTCTACTGCTGCTCCCATCAGCAGTGTATTGGTTGTTCTGCTCCCCACTCTCTCTCTGGTAAATACTCTGACATCCTCAACTCTAGCTTAAACCCCAGTTCTTTCATGAAAAAATAAATCTTTAAAATTAAAAATATAAAATTACAACTACCCCAAAGTAATTTTGTAAGACTTCAAAATTCTACTAATGCTGTCAATTTCTTCTGAAAAATATAACAAACCAGCCTACTAATAATGTTTAACATGTAATAAGACAGTACAGACATGATTTAATTTAGTCTAATCAATGGACAACCTATTAAGTCATAAAAAATATGTTTGACATTCCAAAACCAACTTGTCTAATCCATCACATCTGGTAATGCAGAAAAATCACAGGGTCAGATAAATAGATACACACAAAGAATTTGAAAATACAACACTAAGTCATGGTTTAAAGAAGAGAATTCAGTCAGTAAACCAGAAATAGAGGGAAACCACCTGAAATTGATTTAAAAAAATCTATCCCCCTTAAAATTAATAGCATATTAAGTAACTAAAACTTTACTGCTAAGGTTATTAACACTGCAAGGATGTCCCCTCTTAGCCCTCCTATGAAATCAAACTGAGGTCCTATCTAATCGATTGAAGAGAAAAAGGAAATAAAATATAACCAGATTGGAAATGAATAAGTAAATCTGAATTTGAATCTGAAGTAATCTACAAAAAAATGATTCATGGTGAACACACAGAAGGCAAACATTTTCCTACATTCTAACAATAAACATCTGGAAGGTGAAATTAAAAACATAAATTTTACATTAGGATCCCAGAAACTCAGTTATAACTCTAACGGAAAAACTAAAAACAACTTATAAAGGAAAAACTACAAAACTTTGATCGAGGAAACATCAAAAAAAGAACTAAATAAATGTAGGAGTAGTTCAGTACTGGTGGATATGAAGGTTCACTTTTACCAAGATGCCAATTCTTCATAACTTGATTTAGAAATTGTATGTAATCCCAAATAAAAATTTCAGGCAAGTTACTTTGTGGAAATAGACAAAATACTTCTAAAATATTTATGGATAGGAAAAAGGTCTAGAATAGCCAACATAATATTAAAATAGCAACATCTGGCAGCTTTATTTGTCTAGCTGAATCTGTGAAAGGATTGCCTCTCCTTTCTTCTAGTCATCCTACCTTTTAGATAATTAAAGAAAGAAAAAGAAGAGCAAAAGTCAGCAGACTGACAACTTCACGTAATTTTCTTTGGATATTATAATAAAATATATAGAAATTTAGGGCAAAGTACAGAACAGATAATCCACAAAAAGATCCACTTACATTTAGTCAATTGAGTTTTTACCAAAAAAAGCAAAAATAATACATAATGAGATTGTTTTTTCAAAAGAATGATGCAGAAACAATAGGACAATCACATATCAAAATATGAGTCTGGATACAGGTTATGGCCATCACAAAAAAATAACTGGATCATAGTTCTAAATGCAAAATAATAAAAATCTGTAGAACATATGAAATTTATAATTGTGGATATGGTGATGACTTTCTAAGATACAGCACAAATGACATGATTGACAAAAGACAAGTAAATAATTGATAAACTGCGTGGCCCTAAGTATACTTAAGTTAACATGTATGTGGACATTTATGTTCACCATTTCCCAAAGACAACACAGCACCAAGTTTCAGTTAATTGAAGAAGAATTTGTGCCAGATTTATGGTCGTATACAGCTATATTTCCATGTGAATAATGGTCACAGTTTATCATAAAAATGTAGTGATTTAGTAGTTGAAAATGGCCAAACCAATAGGATTACTACAAATTACTGCTTTTTACCATCCACCACTCTACTGAAAGGTAATCACAGTTTTACACATAGCTGTTTATAACAATACTCTGCATATTTTCTTGATACCTCTATGTAATTATTTCATCATTTAAAATTAAAAGCAAATAGTTGTACATAGCTGATAATAATAGCATTATGGGTATAAAAAAATGGTTTGTTCTAGTCTGATCAACTATGTCCAACTTTATATCAAATCTGATTATTTGGGGAAAATAATTAATGAAAAGGAGGAAAAGTCATGCCACTCAAGATTTTTGTCACTAAAATCCTGCCCAGGTAGTCTTTTAATGGTAGTTTAGTCCATTATAACATTTAGGGACAACCTAAATTGACTGTGTATTCCCCAAATAAACATACTATTGTCTATTGCTTATATGAATAGTTCCTGGAAATTTTTTTTCAGCCAATTTTATTCTGAGTACTATACTTTCTGGGGTTAAAATGAGCAGTTCCACTGTTATATAATAAAATATCGGTCAGTTTTATAAAATCCCCAACATTCATTGTTTATATTGTTAAGCAAAAAGAAAAACAAATTACCTGTTGTGTTATCTTTACAAAAAGAAGAGCTGTCACTCAGATGAAGATGTAAGAAATCTTGTTTCCCCTTGGTGAATACATGATGCTGAAAGATGTCATTTTTATACAGAAAATTATTCTGATAATCGTGAAATGTGCAACTTTCATGTGGTAGGACAAGCAAAAGAACAGAGTTGAAAGAAATGATATAAAAGAAAAAAAAGTCTAAGCTTATTGAAACAATGTGGGTATTTACATAAAATTGATATGCATTTTTTATCTTACTGTGAACATATTTTAAACTTCAAGTAAATTTTATTGATATAAAATAGACCACTGTGGTAAAATATGGTTAAATATCTGTAAAATTTAAATGATAATAAATTATTTTTAAATATTCTGAAATAAGTTGGTCCTTTATGTACTTTCTTCCACAAACAGAAATTTATCTGTTCATTGAAATCAGATGAAATTAAAATATTAGTACTTAAACTTTTTATGTTTATCAATGGAGTGTATGATCTAAAATTTTGAATATTTTTGTTTTAATTTTAATTATGATTGCTACAATCAAGCATAGTTTTAATAGTTTTATAGTTTTTATAACTATAGCTAAATACTATTTTCTATAAGTTGAATAATACATTTAAATATCATTGATATATTAAGTTCCACATACTATCACAAAAACTCATGAATTATGCTCAACCAAAACATCCTTTTATACCATTATGATTATTTCTGATTCTTCGGACACCACCAAATCCAAGTTGTAAACTACTGTCAAATTAGAATCAATAAATTTCCCCTGCATATATGGAGGTAAATGGACACCACCATGCCCAAGCTGTAAAACTACTGTCAAATTAAGATCAGTAAATTTCCCCTGCATATATGGAGGTAAATGCCTAGGGTTGTAATAATATATATAAGTTCATTAAATTGGAGAACAGAAATGTCATTCATTTTCATGAGGCTACAGTAGTGGACACAACATTTTATCTATAACCAGGATGTTGTCTCCTGCCAAAAGCGCATTTGTTGCTAGCTATCTGGATCTATGTATCCACACATGGGGTGTTACAGGTCCATGGGGATAACATACCCACTGCTATTCCAAAATGCAGGTGGAGCCAAGTTTTTCTGAATGTATGAAGAATTGTTGTAGGGGTAATTGATAAAATTTATTATGTTACAATACTCTTAATTTATTACTTTTTAGTCAAAATCTGAAATTTTGTTAATATTACAACAAAGAGTACCTGCACTCAAATTTAATATTGCTAACAGATATTGCTAGATTTTATTTTTAATTTGAGTATGACAAAATCCTGCAAAAAAAAATTGGTGAACCATGATAAAGCATTTATTTCTCACACAGTCTGAATTCACACCGACCATTTAGGAGGGTTATGTTTTTCACCACAGCATATGTTGTTGTCAGTTATTTTAATATGGGTTCTCCTCACTGGACTGAGATGGTATTTCATTGTGATTTCACTTTGGATTTCCCTGATTATAAATGATGTTGAATTTTTTTTTCCTTACACCAGTTGGACATTTTCTTGGATCATTTTAACTATTATCAACATTTTTTTAAAACTAGATTGTTTTTGTTGAGTCATGTGAGCTCTTCGGAGATCTTTGAAATCAGTTCTTTGTCAATTGTATCATATGCAGATCTTTTCTCCCAATCAGCTGGCTAACACTTCATTTTGGATATTTTCTCTTTTCCTATTCAGAAGATTTTTGGGTAAGATGTAGTCACAGATGTTTATATTTTCCTTAATTTTATTTGCCTCAAGGATGTTTTGTAGGTGTATGTCAGATATTCTTTCATCTATGTTTCTCTCTGTATATTTTATGATTTCAGGTCATATATTGAAGACTTTTATCCATTTTAGTGGAATTTTTGTCTATGGTGTGAGGTAGTAATCTAGTTTCATTATTTTTCATGTCACAGTCTAGTTTTCCCCATACCATTCATTAAAGAGACTATTCATGTTTCATTGAATATCCTTTGCTTTTTTGACATAGAATAGTCAACTATATATATATATATATATGGCTTCATTTCTAGGTTTTCATTTTGATTCCATTGTTCTCAGTTTTTTTTAATGACATGATGTTTTAATTATTATTTTGTAGTATAGTTTGTGACTTGAAATCAAAGGGAATTACAAAGGACTTACCTTTGTTGACTATCTGCAACAGCTAATTCAACTTTGTAAGGCACAACATTTCTTATTTCTTCAACATTTCTTGTTTCTTCAACATTTCTTGTTTCTTCAACATTTCTTGTTTCTTCAACATCTTCAGAAGTCTTATTAAATAAATATATGTTATGTAATATTAATGTTCAATAAAACTATATATTAATGAACTAACATATGCACTATTTAGTGAATTTACTTCCCTCTAAATATATTATCTAGAACAAGAGTTGTAGGAAATCTAAATGCAAAATGCATTTTTAGGGCAGTTACTGTTTTAGTCAATTTTTCACTACTATTTCACTTTGAACCAATAAGAACAGTTTATGTTTTTTTTTTTTTTTATGCAACCATTAAGTGACAAGACTAGTGCAAAGATAATTTTAATTATTTGGTCAACATACCATATGCCACATATGTGCATTGGCCTTTTAGTGAAAAACACACACACATATGTACATCTGTATTTATTTGTTCAGTATCTTAATTTTATCCAGGGGGGAAAAATAAAACAATAAAACTGTTGCTAAGCACATACACACAAAATACAGATGTTTACCAAAAGAGTGAAGCATTTAAAGTGATATTTTATCCATTATATACTATTTCTGTGATAACCACAATAAGATCAAAGTTTGTAAGGAACAACATTTCTTGTTTCTTCACATTTCTTGTTTCTTCAACATCTTCTTCAGAAGTCTTATTAAATAAATATATGTCATGTAATATTAATGTTCAATAAAACTATATATTAGGGAACTAACATGCACTATTTAGTGAATTTACTTCCCTCTAAATGTCCAGAAACTAGATTAATAGAAAATCAGAAATGTACTGAGTTTGTCACAACTTAAATGTTTGTTCTAACTCTAGCTATTTTATCAGTCTTTTAGAGCTTAAATTCATTGTTATTTTACTAAAACAATGAATATTTAATGTTGTTCTTTCCTTTACGTAGAAAATAAGTGATATCAAACAACAAACAGAAATGGATTTGATTAAATAAAATAATGAGACTAATATTTTTAATAAAACTACTAACACAGAGATTAAGTAAAATAAACTACATTTCTGTAAGCTAAAATAATGAAACATCTTACTTCCACACTACCTGGTTCTAAATAAAATGATATAAAAAACTTCTGCTCACAAATTTGCTCTACATTAAAAAATAGTAGTCAGTTAAAGTCTATTCAGACATTAAAATTAAAAACACTAAAGTCTTGTATTGAACTGAAGTATTAAATTATATAAAAAAATCTCTGTTGAAAGCAATATATAGCTGTAACTATATGTTATTAATTTCCTGTCTGCTGAGTAATATGAGTGATCATTATGCACTTACATTATCCAGCTCTACTATTTTTAGACTTGGTTCAGCTCTCTCTATTTTTAATTCTTCTAGAGGCAGAAAAAGAGCTTGGTGTTGCACTTTGATCTCTTCAACTAGGAAACAGATTAAAAACAATATCATCAAGAATATATCTTACCTAAAAGAAGACTATATCTTCTTACCATTTTCAAATAATATAACCAAGTAAAAGAGATTGTTGTTTTCTATACATCCATGCCAAGACATAAACATTGTCAGTTTTCACGGTTAAAATGATGTACTCATTTTATTAATATTCAATTTTTATGTGAAACTTTAAATTAATATAAAGTAAATCTAGGTAATGGAAAGAAAACTGTTCATTATTTTGATCTGGAGATATAGTCAAAAGATGTTGCCACTATTCCAGTCAAAGATGTTGCCACTAAGAAAACTTAAAGCTGATGTTGGGGGATCCCTGCTGATATAAGGGGCTAATTCTCAGCACTATGAAGCTATCTGTAGCCCTGCAGCAATAGTTCAACCCAGCCAAGGAGTTAGCTCAGCTCATGCAGCAGATCTCTCCTGTCCTCTGCCGCTCCCTTTAGCAGTGTATATTAGTCAATCCATCTGTTCTGCTCCCCATGCTGTCTCTGATGAATCCTCTCACACACACGCCAGCACCTCTGGCCTGTACCCCAGTACTTATATGCATAAATAAAAACAAATATTTTTAAAAAGGAGATGTTGATTAATATTTGGTACATTTGATTTTAAATAATAAATTTTAAAGTATCCAATAAAAATTGAACTAACCAAGGTCCTACCTGTTGGCACAGGGGGCTAAAGCGCAGCATTGTAAACTAGCCAGAGCTGCTTCAGTGCAAGTTCAATCCCAGCCCAGAGGTCACCCACATGGTACAGCAGACTTCTCCTGTCCTGCCTTCTGCTCCCCTCAGCAGTGTACTTTATTGATCTTCCTACTCTGCTCCCCACTCTGTCTCTGGTGAATCTCACACTGCTCCTGCACCTTTGGCCTATTTCCCAGTTTATATGAATAAATAAATTGACCCAGCCCCTGTAAAGCTCTGGAGATAACTGAGACAACTGAACCCTGTGAATGGAAACAAAGTGGGGAACGACTGTAGCTGCAGTCTGTGAGCTCCCAGGCACCCAGGTGCTAAGAAGTGCTACAGAGGGAGACTTGTTACTTTTAGCCCTGGGAGCTCCCAGGCACCCAGGTGCTAAGAAGTGCTACAGAGGGAGACTTGTTACTTTTAGCCCTGGCCCCCTAAAGCCCTGGACATAAACCAAGACAACACAACTAGGTGAGTGGAAACCAAGCAGAGAAAGACTGCAACTCTGATCCAGAAGTGCTCAGTCGCCCAGGCACGAGGAAACGCTGCAGACCCCAGGCCCTGATAAAGCCCTGGAGATAAACTGAGAGAACTCAGTTCAGTGAGTGGAACCCAAGCTGCTGCAGGGAAAAAAGCAGCTTGGAGTGGGCCTGTAGAGTCCAGGTGTTGGGGAAGAGAAACTGGCAAGTGGAGCACTTCTAGCACATTCCCCTGCATCTCCCGTACCCATAGCAGAGAACTGAGACTAGGCGACATTAAGGCATGGTCAAGTCTT